CGGCGGCGGTGAGGGAGACTGCGGCTGACTGGCTGCTAGGCTGAGGGACGGTGAGGCAGGCGACGCGCGGGCCCGGGTTCCGCGAGGCGGCGGGGAAGGGCCCCGGGGCGTAGGCCTTGAGGCTATCTGCGCTCTCGGGAGTCGGGTCGGGCCGCCCTCGACGCCGCAAACCGAGCGGGGCCGGAAGTGGGGCGGCAGAGTTCCCGGGACTGGGCGCGGGCTCCGGTACCGCAGAGTCGGAACCCGGAGTCGGCCCGGGGACCCTGTTTTCCACTTCTGCGCCCTGCGCGCCTCCAGGCGGGAGGCTGAGGCGGGAGGGAGACGTGCAAACGCTGTCAGGCCCGAGCTCCGGGAAGTTTCCGGGAACCGCGGCCCGGCTGCCGATCTGATCCCGCGCTGGCGGGCTTGGTGGCGCACGCCTGTAATCCCAATACTTGGGAGGCTGCGACAGGAGGATCGCTGTGAGTTCGAGGCCAACCTGGGCTACAAAGTGAGTTCCAGGCCAGCCTGAACTGCATAATGAGACCCTGTTACAAAGAAAAAATTCAGGGTAACTACAGTATCCGGCTGCCAGCACGGGCCGCTGAGGCAGGAGGATCGCCGCCAGTCCTGGATCCTCCTGGATCCTCCTGGGTGCATAGCGGGACCCTGAGCCAAAAAGCGCAAGAAAAAGCCCTAGCGTCGCTCGCGATGCGCTCCCTTCCCCGTGCTTGTCTGATTGCAGGGCGAGCGCGGCGACAATGTGCGGGCGGACGTCCTGCCACTTGCCCAGGGACATGCTGGCCAGAGCCTGCGCCTACCGTGACCGCGGGGGCCGGCAGCGGCTCCCCGAGTGGAGGCAGCCCGAGAAGTACCACCCCTCCTACAACCAAAGCCCGCAGAGCTGCAGCCCCGTGCTGTTGTCGCGCCTGCACCTGGAGAAGGTAATGCTTCCTGCAGACTGCTGAGCCTGTTGGTCTAGGTGCGCCCAGCCTCGCGGGATTACTGGTCCGTGCCCCACTTGAGAGCTGCCCTGAGCCCTACGAAAAGAAATTTTATCCTTGTTTTCTAAGTTGAGATGACTCCGTGTTCTTTGGCCATTTTAAGTGTAGTTGCTAGACCAGCCCTAACTCCTGCCCGGTTTATGAACCTTGAATTTGAATTGATTTAAGGCAACAGCTTTCAGACCTCGCTTATCATCAAGATCATTTGAGTGTCTTAAAAAAATTTCCCCTAGCTGTGGTGGCGTACATAGTCATCCCAGCACTCGGGAGGCTGAGGCAGGAGGATCACCCAGAGTTCGAGGCCAGCCTGGGCTAGGTAGCAAGACCTTTTCTCAAAAAAATTTTTTTTCTGTACCCCACCAGGCCAGCTGAATCAACCCTAGGGCAGGCTTACAACCAACTAATTTAGCTGGGGTGGCGGCACACACCTGTCATTCCAGCTGTTGGCCGAGGCAGGAGGATCATTAGTTCCATGCCAGTTCAGACTACATTAATGAGGTTGAGGCCATCTTGGACTTCATAGCAAGACCTAGAGGCTGCTTCAGACAACCAAAATGTGTGTGTTGGGGGAGACCAGGTAATTTAAAACACTAATAGTATTTCTTTGTTTTTTTTTTTTGGTTTTTTTTTTTTTTTTGGTTTTTTCTCCGGTACCGGAAACCGAACTCACGACCTTGCGCTTGCCAGGCAGGCGCTTTGCCGCTGAGCTAAATCCCCAGCCCCAAAACACTAATAGTATTTCTTAAGCACTGAAAATTGTCTGTTCTTTTTGCTTGTGTTTTCAGTCTTTTTGTCTTTCATGAAAGCTAGAAACACATGTATTTGGTTTGGTTACTTGAAAATTTTTTTCTCCTTAGATACTGGGGATTAAATCCAGGGCCTTCACACTGAGGTACATCCTCAGCCTTTTATTTTGAGACAGGCTCTTTCTTAATTGCTAAATTGGCCAGGCAAACAGTCCTGCCTCAGCATCCCAGAATGTGGGTGCTGTAGGTGTGCGCCACCACACCTGGCTTGGTTATCTGAAATTTAACTGTATTTATTGTATTTATAGTGTTGGAGTGTCGATTATTTTATATTTTATTTATTTATTTTTAAAGGGGAAAGGGTTTATTTAGCGCAGTTAGTGGAGGTTTCAGTCCATAATCAGCTGGCTTTCTGGCAGGGCAGAGGGGCAACAGTCCATGGTGGTGCAAGACAGCAAATGCAATAAGTGAGAGAGGGAGAGAGAGAGTCAATTAATTTATAATAAAGTTTAAGTTCTTTTTCTTCTGTTCCAAAAAGCAAAAGTTTCTCTACGTCTTAAATATTTTAAATGCTTTTGATAACATCTTAAAAAGTCCTGATTGGGGTGGGCATGGTAGTGCACAGCTATAATCTCAGCTACTGGGGAGGTTGAGGCAAGAGGACCCCCAAGGGCCAGCTGGTCTCCTTGGCAGGACCTAGTCCCCCATATAGAAAAGGGCTTAGGATGTAGCTCAGTGTGAAAGCCCTGGGTTCAATCCCTAGTACTGTAAAAGTAAAAATTGTTTTTAAAGATTGCTGTTGCTTCTTAATTTGATAAATATTTGATATTTTATTTTTCTCAAACGTGTAAATTTTAAGACAAAATTAGAAGCATTTTAGCACCCCATCCAAATTCTTAACGGCCAGCATTTGTGTGTGGGTTGCAGTGTTTGCATTTGAAACCACTGATTTGCAAATGACTTCCTCTTTCTGGGTTATGTACCCCAGTGCTCCCAGCTGTTCCCCTCTGGGGTCCAAAAAGGGGAGGCAAGATGACTGATACTGAGAAGTATTTTCAGTATTTTGGCTTCTCACACACTGTATTCATTGCCCTCATGATTGAGTTTGGTTTGGAATTGCCCAGTGAGCACGCTCAAGTCAGAGGTGACAGCAGACTTTGTGAGGACCAGGTTTTTCAGACAGGTAGACACTGTTGAAATTTGAGGGCAGGTTAATTCTTTGATGTAGCAAGCTGTGCTGTACACTGTAGAATATTTAGCAGCACCCCTGGCCCCTACCCCCTGGATACTAGTAGCACCCCCAAGTCATCACCAAAAATGTCCCTTGGCATTGCCTGAAGTCTCTGGGTGGTAGGAGGGGTGGGTCAGAGTTGTTCTGTTACTGTATGGGTTCAGAGGAGGGCCCCCCAAAGTGGAGACAGACTCCCAACTTGCCCCACTAAGTTCTTAGGGTTTTGTTTTTGTTGCTTTTTTTTTTTTTTTTTCCCTGTTTGTTTGTTTTTTTTCCGATACCGGGAATCGAACTCATGACCTTGCACTTGCCAGGCAGGCACTGTGCCGCTGAGCTCAATCCCCAGCCCCTTTTTGTTGTTTTTTGAGGCAGGATCCCACTCCGTAGTCCAGGCACATCTTGAACTCATTATATAGCCCAGCTGATTTTGAGGTCATGGCAATCCTCCTGCCTCAGCCTCATCTGGTTCGGGGATCACAGACGTTGGCCAACACACCCAGCTCAACCTCTTAATAATTTTATCTCTTATATTCTTTCATGGGTGGGCAGGGGCCCTTCTGCTTGGTAGGCACATTTGATTTTGTTAGGGAGAGGCTGTAGTACCTCTGTGTATCCAGCCATTCTTTCTCAAATACACAGGTGATGTTCATAGTTCTTCAATCGCATATTTGCATATTTACCTACTCTAAACTGTATTTGTAGCCCCAGATCTGTACTAATGATGCTTTCTCCCTCATAGGTGGTGACAAAGCAAGGAGAAATTTGAGTAGCTGGATTATATTCACATTTCCAGCTGAATGTAGCCAGCTCTGTCTCTTCTCTTAATGCTGTAAACAAGTGGTGCCCTTTTTATTGCACTTCTGTGCTTTTTGTGTGATTTCAGTGTTCGAAAAGATCCCAAAGCCTGCATAGTGATGCATGGCTGTTAATCCCAGCACTCTGGGAGGCTGAGGCACCAGGATCACAACTTTAGTTCAGCCTGGGAAATTTAGCATCTTAGTAAGGTGCTAAATTTAGCATCTGTCTCAAAATAAAAAATAAAAGTGGACTGGGCTTGTAATGCAGTGCAAAGGCCCTGTGTTAAATCCCCAGTGCCAGAGTGTAAAAGGGACCGCCAGGCATAGTGCTAAAGTGCTGGCTGGTGTTCCTAATTTTGAGAGACCTGGGACATGCCTTGAGAGGGAAGATGTGTGTTAGGTGAGCTTCATTCAGGCCTGAGGTATGGTAACTTAAATGAATCAGTGATACAGTATCGGGTTAATAACCCTTAGTTATTGTGGGCTGCTTAGGCCTACAATCTCCCAAACCAGTGGACAGATGAAGACTTAAATAAATGAGATAATTGAAATAATTTCAGGGCTCCAGGAGAGTCTAACTTGCAGAATTCGAGATTCTCTGGGTTAAGACAAAGACTTCTTTGGGCAGCCCGTATTTATTAGGTTTTCAAACAAAGGAGGAGGAAAGAAAATGCAGGAATCTAGCAGGACCTTGGGAAATACTTTCCCAAGTAGTAAATTATGTCAATCAGGAGAACTACCTTATCTTTAGGCTGGCATTTATTGTAGGAGTGTGGAGCCTGCAGCTGCAGTCTCCTTTTAGTTAATTTGGGTAGGAGCCAAATGTCCTCAGCTGTGGCCTTATCTTGTCCTTTGAGACGTCCCAGCCTCACAGGCCAATACAGGCCTCAGCGGGGACCAGGGACCATAGAAATTCACTTACTGTGAGTCGACTGCCCATCCCCAGAAACGGTGCCTGAGCTTCGGACAACTCACAATTAATCATGGAAAGCCAATTGGTTAATATTAAATTCTACTCAGAGCTGCTTCATAGCGGTGTCCATCAATAGAGATCAGATAAGGTATCTTTAAGCCAGGCACACAAAAAACAAGTTATATAGTGACCAGTTAGTGACATTTTGTCTCTCAGAAACTTAGCCTTGTATTTCCCTAAGAGCAGCAGCAGAATTCTCTGTGATGAATGTGATCATTATGTATATCTAAAATGTACCAATAACATTTGATTGGAAAAGGAAAAAAAAAACCACTAAGAGCAGCAGCAGTTACTGCAAGGGGCACTTTACAGAAGCTACTGTAAATACTGAGAATCAACTGTGTGTGTGTATGTGTGTGTGTGTGTGTGTGTGTGTGTAAGTAAAGGGAATTAATTGAGATATGCAGGACTGTGGAGAGTGCCTGTAATCCTAGCACTTGGGAGGCTGGGGCAGGAGGATTATTTTGAGTTCAAAGCCAGCCTGGAGTACATAATGAGACGCTGTCTCAAAATAAATGAATGAATAAATAAACAGAAGGACCGACTTTTAGCATTATCTTTATTACTGGTTTGGTTTGGTTTTTTTGGTGTTGTTGGATTTTTGATTTATTGTTGTTTTTGTTTTTGTGTTTTTTGAGACAAGGCTTCACTCTTCCAGGCTGGCCTGGAATTTAGCATCATTGTCCCTCAGCCTGCTGATTCTGATTACGAGTGTGCACCATCATCCCTGCTGATCTTTTCATTCAGACAACTTAGGCAGAATGAACCACCTTGTCCAATAGGGAAAGGGGTGAGGCCTCTCAAAATGCGAGTTCCAAAATGCTAACCACAGGTCCGCTTTTACATAGATCCTCCTAAAAGCAGCATCCTCTTTCCTACAGTGTTAACTCTCTTGCACAAAACTACTTCTCAGTGCTGGAGATGGAACCCAGGGCTCTGCACATCCAGATAAGTGCTCTACCACTGAGCTACATCCCTAGGACCCCTTTTTTAAAATTTTGAGTTGGAGTCTTGCTAAGTTGCCCACGATGGCCTCAAACTTACTGTCTTCTTGCCTCAGCCGCCCACTAGCCAGGATTATAGGCCTATGTTACCTATATGCATGTTAAATGTTGGGGCCACATGAAGTCTGTCCCAGAGGCACAGATTAAAAGCATACAGGAACTTCATCTCTTTGTGTCCCCTTTCTAACCCAGTTCAAGTCATCTGTATCATGTGAACCATTACAATGTTCTTAAGTAGACTTCTTTTGCCAAATTGTGTGTTGTTTGTCTTTTTATTCTTTTTTTTTTTTTTTTTTTTTTTTGTCTTTTTGAGACAGGGTCTCACCATGCAGTTTAGGCTGGCCTGGAGCTCACTTTGTAACCCAGGCTGGTCTCAAACTTGCAACAGCCTTGAACTCATGGTAATTTTCCTGCCTCAGCCTCCCAAGTGCTGGGATTGCTTGTGCTACCATGCCTGGCTTGTCTTTTCATTCTAATAGTAATGTAACAATATAATGCATTTGGTTTTCAGACTTCATTATATCTCACTGAATTTAACCTTTTTTTGTGGCAGGATGCAGATTCATCAGAGCGGATTATTGCTCCCATGCGATGGGGCCTGGTCCCCTCTTGGTTCAAAGATGATCCTTCCAAGCTGCAGTTCAATACCACCAACTGTCGCAGCGATACTATCCTGGAGAAACGGTCATTCAAGGTCAGTCACTGGTCTGGGGAAAAGGTACATGCTCTGTTTTCTAACAGCTGTTTAGGCCTTGTATACCTGAGAAGTAAAATAAGCTTCCAGAGAGTACTCCAGATTGTGTTGATTGAGTGTAGTGGCACATGCCTGTAATCCCAGCACTTGGCAGGCTGAGGCAGGAGGATTGCCATGAGTTTAAGGCCAGCCTGGGCTACATAGTGAGACCTTGTCTCCAAAAGAAAAAAACCAAATTGTTAATGTTGAGTGCTGTAGACATAGTGGGTTTTTTGTTTCATCCTGTTGGTTGTTTCGCAGTACTGCGGATTGAACCCAAGGCTTTCACTGAGCTACATACCCATCTTTTATACTTTTTAGTTTGAGACAGGGCCTTGGTAAGTTGCCCAGGCTGGGCTTAAACTTGCAGTCCTCCTGCCTCACCCTCCCAGAGTGCTGGAATTACAGGGATTATGGCATGCACCACCAGCAGTGCTAATATAGTCATTTAACACAAAAAGTTTCTCATATTGTATGGACGTACTTGTAATCAGATGGTAGCTGGGGACAGATGTCCAACTGACTTCTCAGCTTGGAGGGTGTCTTACTTACTTTTCTTGTTGCTGAGACAGAATACACAACACCCAGAGTTAAAGGAGGAAAGGTTTATTTAGCTCACAGTTTGTAGAGGTTTTAGTCTATAGTTGGCTGGCTCTAAGGCAGGGTGGCATGGCAGAGGGGTATTGCAGAGGAGAAACAGTTCATGGAGACAGAAGATAGCAAAACAAGCAACAGGTTTCTGCACTGTTTATCTTTTCCAGTCTGCTTAGGGCCAGTAGCACTCACACCCTTAACCCAGTGCCCTTGAGCTTTGCACCATGAATCAGTTCCAGTATCACACACTCTAGACCCAGCCACCTCTGAAACACAGCCACCTCAAAAACACCCATCTGTGACCCCATGAGGCTTTAGCTGGGACATCTAGACACAAGCTGTAACAGAGGGTTAGGGCTAGAACACCTGGAAGCCTTTCCCATACCTAGCTTGAGGGTGTCGGGTAGTCAGCCTCTGACACAGCATCTCATTGAGCACAGAGCTCATGACCCAAGAAGGCAGGGTGGATGCTATGAGCCCTCCCTGTGTAGTGTGCCAGGGGACTCTGTGGGCTGTGGGTACCAGGAAGTGTGCATGGTTAACTGGGGGCCAACATTAGAGCCACCATGTATACCTGCTTATTAGAAAAGAGCTGCTTGCTCTTACGTACTTTATATCTTTTCAGCATCTGTGTAATTGAATGCTGACTTTATACATAAGTAAGCCAGGCTCAGTAGCTTAGATGTACAATACCAGCTTGGGAGGCTGAGCCCAGCCTGAGCAACTTTGCAAGACTGTGTCTCAGAATGAAAAGTATTGGGGGTAGCTCAGCGGTAGAGTGTCTGCCTAGCATATGTGAGCCCTGGGCTCCATCCTCACTACTGCAAAGAAAACAAAAAAATGAGATACAGGAACTCTCTGTAAGTAACTTTTCCAGGTTCATACCATGACTGAGATTTAACTTAGTGCTGTCCCTGAAACACGACTATGTCACTAAGCCTGTGTCTCGCTCACTTTTCTCTCAGGTGCCTCTGGGGAAGGGGAGACGCTGTGTTGTCTTAGCTGATGGATTCTATGAGTGGCAGCGATGTCTCGTAACAAACCAAAGGCAGCCGTACTTCATCTATTTCCCTCAGACTGAGGCGAAGGAGGTATCCGCAGCTGCGTGCAGTATACCTAGTATACCTGTAGGAGGGACGGGGGGCAGGGGGGACAGATCAGAATCATACACCACGTGGCACTCCTTTCATCGGTGATGGACCACGTGTGCAACAGTGCAGTGCCGTGTAGCCTGGTATGTAGCAGGCTCTACTGTCTACACTGTGGTGCTCATGCTGCACTGAAATCACCTGGGATGCATTTCCCAGAAGGGTCCAGCGGTGATGCTTGACGGTGATCCAAACCAGGACATTTCTTTCCTTCCCTCTTAGAGGTTGGGTTTTTTTTTTTTTTCTTTTTTGGTACCAGGAATTGAACTCATGACCTCAGGCTTGCCAGGCAAGTGCTTATGCCGCTGAGCTAGGTGATCCAAACCAGGACATTTCTTTCCTTTCCTCTTAGAGGTTGGGTTTTTTTTTTTTTTCTTTTTTGGTACCAGGAATTGAACTCATGACCTCAGGCTTGCCAGGCAAGTGCTTATGCCGCTGAGCTAGGTCTCCGGCCCCTTGTTTTGTTTTTATTCTTTTTTTTTTTTTTTTTTTGGTTTTTCTCCGGTACCGGGAACTGAACTCACGACCTTGCGCTTGCCAGGCAGGCGCTTTTGCCGCTGAGCTAAATCCCCAGCTCCCTTGTTTTGTTTTTAAGCAATAGCTTTATTAAGATACAAAAAAAACAGGATGTGTTGTAACCATTTATTACAGACACATTGCCATGAATCCCCCTCCAGATAACTCCCTTTGCTTCCAACACTTTCTGAAGCAGTTTCCAAAGTCCTCTGTTGTGTCTTTAGTCACATTATTGTGGGTGCCTTGATGACCTGAATTGATTCAGACCATTTACCTTTCATGATCATGTTGACTTTGGGGAAGAGCTAGAAATGTCACGGGGCCAGGTCCAGTGAATAAGGTGAGAGGGGCGCAGCATCATGTTTTTACATATCTGCCTTTTTGCTGGATGGCACTTGGCAGTAGCATTCACTGTATTTTTGATCATGCCAGAAGCTCACCTTCAACTTATATGTAGCTCACGATAGCCTCAAACTTGTGTTTCTTGTGCCTCAACCTCCCCAGGTCAGGTATTACACATGTGTGCCACTATGCTCAGCTTATTTCAATATTTATTCTTTCTTTCTTTCTTTCTTTCTTTCTTTCTTTCTTTCTTTCTTTCTTTCTTTCTTTTTCTTTCTTTCTTTCTTTCTTTCTCTCTTTCTTTCTTTCTCTCCTTCTCTCTTTCTCTTTCTCTCTTTCTCTCTTTCTCTTTCTCTCTTTCTCTCTTTCTTCCTTCCTTCCTTTCTTCCTCTCTCTCCCTTCCTTTTTCTCTCCTTTTTTCTTTTTCTTTCTTGCTCTTTCTTTTTCTCTCCCTTTTTCTTTCTTGCCCTTCCTTTCTTCCTATCTTTCTCTCTTTCTTTTTCTATTTTATTTTATTTATTTATTTATTTATTTTTTGGTTTTTCTCCGGTACCAGGAACTGAACTCACGACCTTGCACTTGCCAGGCAGGCACTTTGCCGCTGAGCTAAATCCCCAGCCCCTCTTTTTCTTTCTTTCTTGCCCTTTCTTTCTGTGTCTCTCTCTTTCTCTTTCTTTCTGTGCTGCAAATTGAACTCTCAGAACCTTTTCATATTTAACGTTCCTACCCCCCTTTTTTTTTTGAGACAAGGTCTTGCTAAGTTGCCCAAACTGGGCTCAAACTTGGATCTTCCTGGCAGCCTCTCAGAGTGCTGCGATTGCAGGCATGTGCCAGTATGCCCAGTTGTTGTTTTGGTTATGGTTTTTTTGTTTTTTGTTTTTTTTAAATAAAAGCTAAGGTCTGAACTCATGGCCTGGCATTTGGTACACCACTGAGCTACAACCCCATGCCTGGGATTCTAATTATAAAAGTGTTAGGTATTTTAATATTGTTTCATAGTTCTTAGATGTTCTCTTCTGTATTTTTTTCGTGTTCAGTTTGGATGATTTTCATTGACTTGTGTTTGGTGTTTTCTGTTCTGTTTTGTTTTGTTTTGTTCTGCTTTGTTCTTTTTCAGTAGAAGGGACTGAATCTAGGACCTTTGCAATGAACTACATCCCGTTTTATTATTATTATTATTTTGTCTTTTTGAGACAGGTCTCACTATGCAGTTCAGGCTAGCTTTGAGCTCACTTTGTAGCCTAGGCCGGCCTCGAATTCACAACAGTCCTCCAGCCTCAGCCTTCCGAGTGCTGGGATTACAGGCGTGCACTACCACATCCAGCTCCCCTTTTATTTTTTTTTCATTATTTATTTATTTATTTATTTTGTGGTACTGGGAATCAAACTCATGACCTCGCGCTTGCTGGGAAGTCCCCTTTTATTTTTGAGATAGGGTTTTTACTGATTTGCCCAGTATGGCCTCAAACTTTCGATTCTTCTGCCTCAGCCTCCCAGAGTGATGGGATTATAGGCGTGCGCTATCACACCCAGCCTTGATAGTTTTTGGTTGTTATCAGGCATAACATGTAAGACAGAAACTAAAATAAATACTACTCACTTTTGGGAATTCTTCTGTTAGGCCTTTACTGCAGGAGTCCAGTCAGTCTCACTGGTTGGGACTGTCCTGGGCTTTGGCTGAAGTCATGCTTCCCTTGTCAGCAGGCTTCCAGTTTCTCCGGCGGCACACAGTGCTTTGGCCAGGGTGACTACAGGAGGCTGTTGCTGTGGGCCTGCTGTGGCTGTGGACCCCCTGGGAGCCTGGGCCTTGGAGAGGTCTCTGGTCTCACTCTGCTCATGTCACTTGTGCTTGTTGAACTGCTCGGGTGGCAGTGGTTCTTTGTCATGGTTCGGAGGCAGAACTGAGTCAGAGGCTATTGGTGTCTGGTGTTCCCAGTCCCCCTACCCCTTTTCCTGAGGTTGGGAAGCAGTCCCTCATCACCTTACAGGTCCTCCCCTCTCCCAGGGCCCTGGGATCGCCACTCAGCCCTGCAGTGTGTTCCTGGGCTATGTTCTTCTACAGAGGAGCCCTCCCATGGGTGCCCGGCCTTCCTCATGGGGCATGGGGAGCGGCCTGTGAGTGCCCTGCTCTGCTCTTGTGTGCGGTTGTAATTACACCTGAATCTTTGCTGCTGCACAGAAGTGCTGTCTCCTGCCTTACGCCTGTCTGCTAGTGTCTGTTCTTTTCCTCTCGGGTTCCCTATCTTTTCCTTACGTTTTAGGCTCCCTGGTTGCCTAACAACCTCAGCTCTCTGATAAGGTTGAGAGAAACCATGGGTATGTAAATGCTATAGCTTTTTCCCTTATTGTTATGGTGAGAGGGGCGCTTTTCCCAGCTTTCTGTATTGCAGGTCGTAGGAGCAGTGTGATGAGAAGGAAGGTCAGGAGGGCCATGCGGGCAGAGGAGATTGCCCCAGCAAGCAGGGCACCAGATTGCGTTGGTTCTTGGGTTATGACAGGTGGCTGGGTGCATATGAACGGTGTGGGGCTCGGTGGCACACGCTCAGCTAGTGTGCATGTGACGCGACAGAGGAGCAAGCACCCAACCAGATGGTGTGCGTGGCAGCTGCAGCGGCCTACGTGCCAAGCGGAGATAGTTTTATGCCACCAGGCCTCCTTCCCTTGCTGGCAGTGGGTCGGGGATTGATGGTGATAGTAGAGTCATCCCCGAGATGGTTACCATGCTGTCAGGTGTGGGGCAGTGCCCAGCCTGCGCATAGAGCTCACCTGCCCGTTTTGCTTGCAGTCAGGCAGCGGAGGGGCTTTAGACAGTGCTGAGAACTGGGAGAGAGTCTGGGACCACTGGAGGCCGCTGACCATGGCAGGGATCTTTGACTGCTGGGAACCCCCTGAGGGAGGAGACCTGCTGTATTCCTACACCATCATCACCGTGGATTCCTGCAAAAGCTTGCATGACATCCACCACAGGTAAGCTTTTCTGTGTCTAGTACTGGGGATCAAACTCTGGAAGTGCTGTTATAACCCCAGCCAGTTTTTCTCATTTTATTTTGAGACAAGTTCTCACTAAGTTGCCCACGGTGGCCTTGAATTCATGATCCTCCCAGGTGGCTAGCATTATAGATGTGGGTCACCATGCTTGGCTAAAGTCACACTTACTGTCCCTGGATTCAAAAGGATCTGTCTTTTGTGCTTTTGGATAGGTAGTTTTAAAGAACCAGCTGGGGGTAGTGATGCATGACTGTAATCCCAGCACTCAGGTGGCTGAGGCAGGAGGATTGCTGTGAGTTTGAGCCCAGCCTGGGCTACATACTGAGTTCAAGGCCGGCCTAAGCTGTGTAGTGAGACCCTGTCTCAAAAGGGAAAAAAAAAAGAAAGAAACCAAGCTGTTTTACAAATAGTTATATTCAGTTTACCTATAACATGACATGTATTCTTAAACATCACCGCACTCCAAAATTATTGAGTGAAAATCACATAAAATCCGTCTGCATTTCGGAGATTTTTAAAATAATTTTAGGCCCTGGAATTGTAACTTAGTCATAGGGCATGTATTTAGTATTCATGAGGCCCTGAGTTCAAGTATATACATATATTGCCAGGCGTGGTGGTGCATGCCTGTCATCCTGAAACTTGAGAGGTTCAGGCAAGAGGATTGCTGCAAGTTCAAGGCTAGCCTGGGCTACACAGCAAGGCTCTGTCTCAAAAAACAAAACAAACTGAATACTGGATGCAGTAAATAGCCTCCTCCATTTAATTTCTACATCATAAATGGAAACGTTTTATTTATTTTGTGTGGGTGGTGCTGGGATTGAACCACTTGTGTGTTTTTTTCCTATGTCCTGGTGGTACCGAGGCCTGGCTCCCCGGCCTGGCATGGGCTAGGTAGGGGCTTTGCCATGGTGCTGCATCCCAGCCCCAACCCTGGAAATTCTTGAGGGCAGTTTCCATCCCTGCTGTGGCTTCTCCTGATGGCAGAAAGCACCAGGTCACAATTACTTGCACTAAAAGAAGCCACTTCGTGAGATGACAAGAATAATGAAGGAAATGCTCAAAAAGTCTGAAGAAGAAATCTATAAGAAAATAGAAGAACAAAGACAAGAGTCAGAAGCGTT